TTAGCTCCAGGGTGACGGTGTTGGGGTGTGGATACATATGGATTACAGGGGTCTCGCTATGTAGGCCAGGCTGACCTGAAACTCACTATGTAGAATAGGCTGGCCCAGGACCTACTGCAATCCTCCTGCCTCAGCCTCCTCAGTACTGGAAATTCAGATAAGAGCCACCATATCAAGTTGAAGCAAAGCTTTTGGGAGGTGACGAGGCTTAGGTTAGGGCAGGAGAGTGAGACCCGGCTGATGCGGTTAGTGTCCTTCTAAGAAGAGGAAAACACAGATACCCTAACCTCCATGGACACATCATCAAGGAAAGGCCCTGTGAGCAGGCTACAGGAAGACAGCCATGCACTGGGGAGCATGCACCAGGAAGCACGCACCAGGGAGTTGCTCTCATCAGGGGTAGGATCTCCGGCACCTTGGACATGGACTCCCCAGACTCCAGAACTGTGAGAAATAACCACCTGCTGGGTGTCCCTTGGTCCACGGGAATCTGTGAAAGCAGGCTGTCCCCGTGTGTTGTCTGTTGCTCTGATAAACACCATGACTGAAAGCAACTTGGGGAGGAAAGGGTTTATTTCAGCTTACAGGTTATATAGCATTCCTCGCTGAGGGAGGCCCAGGCAGGAGCTAGAAGAGGAAACCAGGAGGAAGGTTGTTCACTGACCTGTTCTCTTGTTTGCTGTCTGCTAGTTTTCTTATACAGCCCTGTCTCAACTGACTAGGCATGGTGCTGCCCACCTTGGTCTGGGCCCCCTCCACCAATCATCGGTCAAGACAATTCCTCACAGATAAGGCTGTGGTTGAGGCAACTCTCCCATGAGGCTCTGGGTTGTGTCAAGTTGACAAGAAAACAAGTCTAGCTAAGACAATCATTCACCATGAGTGACCAAGGACAGTAAGGCCTTGGAGGACGCAGAAGCCATTTACACCCATTTTTTTTCACAGTTCTACCCTCTCAGATCCTCCCTCCGTGAATACTCACGAAGGTGAGGATAGGTGTGGGCAGAGGATGAAGTATTGACTGGGAATAAGAAGCCTTTGAGAACCTCTCTGGGCTAGTGAGGGAGCGCAGTGGGTTAAGGTGTTTGCCTCTAAGCCTGCCGGTCCCCAGGATCAATACATTGGAAGAATGAATTGACTTTTACAGGTTGTCCTCTGACCTCTATGAACATGATACCCACAAATAAATGTAATAAAAACAGCGATCAAATTGCAATGATTATTTTATGGGTGACATGTATAAGCATAAAATTGCCGTTATTACTGTAGCAAACCCCTTTTGTTTCATTTTAAGACCTAAACTTTTACCGAAATGAGAAAGCTAATGTTACTTCATGGACTGGACGGTTTATAATATAAATAAAAAAGTTTCAGATAAATTCCTGGCGGTGCAGTTGTATAAGTTACAAAGGGATAGGAATAAGCAGGGTGCATTTCTGACCCGTGAGTCGGAAGTCACAAAAGGCAGTGTCCTAATCCTTCCCAAACATTGTAGGAGCTCTGTTTGAAATAGGAACACTCTAGCAGACAAAGCTCACGGCTCACCAGCATACCACTGCTGGGGAGTTGCCACGGAGTTGGGCTCAGCCATGGACCTCTGAGTTCCACAGGCATGCGGTTGACTCCCAGCCCCTGGACCACTGCCCACTCCCGTGAGAGTGTGTGCCCACTGCTCTCGGTCTCGAGAGTTGCTTGGTGCTCTGTGTGGCCAAGTGAGTCAGCACACAGTTGGGAGTGGTCCAAGGGCTCCTGCTCTTTGCTCGCCGGGGCTGTTTGCCGGAGATCACAATCCTTCCACATTACTGGTGGCTCTCAGTGACATTTAATGGAGCTTCTGGGGTGGTGAGTGAAAACTGGGATCTCAGAAAATCAAAACCTGTGATGACACACAGGATCTTGCTTATTGCAGATTTAAAAACAGCAGAGGACCTCAGTGTCATTCCATGGGGAGAATCACCCCCTGGGTCACCTGTCTGGAAGCTAGTTGGAAGAGAGGGGAAAAGGGCAAGCCGGTAGTCCTGGGACCATGTTTCCAGGTCTTCCTATGACTCCAAGCCCGTGTTCATGTGCATGCCCAGCCTACTACTCTTTGCGAGCACATTTCTGCCCATTGTCTTACCTGGGCCTTTTTTTTTCTAGTTGTTTCTGATCCCCTCCCCCATCTTTTCATTATTTTCTTGGGTTGGCTTACAAAGAACTAGGTTTTGCTGTGACATTTTCATTCATAGGTCATTCTAGTCATAAATAGGCTATTCTAGTCATACAGAGGCCATTATAGTCATATATAGGTTATTATAGTCACACATAGGTTATTATAGTCACACATAGGTTATTATAGTCATACAAAGGCCATTATAGTCATACATAGGTTATTATAGTCACACATAGGTTATTATAGTCATACAAAGGCCATTATAGTCATACATAGGTTATTATAGTCACACATAGGTTATTATAGTCATACAAAGGCCATTATAGTCATACATAGGTTATTATAGTCACACATAGGTTATTATAGTCATACATAGGCCATTTTAGTCATACAAAGGCTATTATAGTCATACATAGGTTATTATAGTCACACATAGGTTATTATAGTCATTCAGAGGCCATTATAGTCATAATAGCCTTTCTATTCATACATAGGCCATTCTATTCATACATAGGTTATTATAGTCACACATAGGTTATTATAGTCACACATAGGTTATTATAGTCACACATAGGTTATTATAGTCACACATAGGTTATTATAGTCATACATAGATTATTATAGTCATACAAAGGCCATTATAGTCATACATAGGTTATTATAGTCACACATAGGTTATTATAGTCATACAAAGGCCATTATAGTCATACATAGGTTATTATAGTCACACATAGGTTATTATAGTCATACAAAGGCCATTATAGTCATACATAGGTTATTATAGTCACACATAGGTTATTATAGTCATACATAGGCCATTATAGTCATACATAGGTTATTATAGTCATACAAAGGCCATTATAGTCATACATAGGTTATTATAGTCACACATAGGTTATTATAGTCATTCAGAGGCCATTATAGTCATAATAGGCCATTCTATTCATACATAGGCCATTCTATTCATACATAGGCCATTATAGTCACACATAGGCCATTATAGTCACACATAGGCCATTATAGTCATACATAGGTCATTATAGTTTGTTCTTGTTCTCCTCCTTTACTGTCCTCTCAGGCTCCCTCTTTCCTTCTACTTTCTTGCCCCCCCATTACGCTCTTTCTCTCCTCTCAAACTCCTTTTACTCCCCTCCATCCCAAGTCCCTCCCTTTTTGTTTTAAATATTTATTTTAAACTATGTGACTGTTTTGTGTCTCTGTGTGGGTATGTGTACGAGTATCTGCAGAGGCCAGAGGTGTTGGATCCCTTGGACCTGGTGACAGCCGTGGCTGTGAGGAACGAGATGAGTTGGGAACTGAACTTGGGTCGTCTGCAGGAAGAGCCTTAACTGTTGAGCCATGTCTCCAGATCCCGGAGCTCCCTTTCTACTTCAGTGTCACACACACACACACACACACACACACACACACACAGAGAGAGAGAGAGAGAGATTTATTCTAGACTCCACATATGACAGAAAAAACATGCTATGGTTTTCTGAGTAAGGCTTAGGTCATGTAACAACAGTTTCCAGTTTCATCCATTTCTACAACAATTTTCATTCTTTGCCTATAAAAATTCCATTGTAGGGGCCAGAAAAAAAGGCTTGGCAGGTAAAAGGGCTCGTCATCAAGCCTTAGGGCCTGGGTTCAATCCCTACAACCTGCATAGCGGAAGGAAAGGGCCAAGTTGTTCTCTGACCTCCACAGGTACACTGTGGTCCCATACCCACCCACCTACATATAAACAAACCAATAAGTTTTAAATTCTATTGTATATATGGAGCACACCGTCTGTTGATTGACATCTGGGTTGTTCTCTAGCTGGCTATTGTGAATAGTGCAGCAATAAACGTGTGTGTGTGTGTGTGTGTGTGTGGTCCGTGTTAAGTTCTTAGGATCCTCTACAGGTCACAGGACTGTGACCTCACTGAATATCATGCTGCAGGGCCCTGTACCAAGAAGTGGCTGCCCAGCAGACTCTCCCTGGGTGCCTGGGGAGGGGGGCGCCTGGGGTAGCTGGGGAGGCCTAGGGCTTTCTCCGTCTCTTGAGGGGCACAAACGTGTTTTGCCACAGACTCCAGGCATGGGGCAGAACAGAAACGGCAGAAGCATGAGACTGAGGACAGAAATGGCTTCTGTATGTCCGCAGAGAGGAGCTTCTGTGTGCTGGCGCGTGTAGCCCGAATACAGGTCTGTGGTATTTAGGGAAAGGCCAACAGCCAGAGATGCCACCTGTCCTGCTGGGCTCCCTTTCCACTGTGCAGCCTCTCGGAAGCTGTTCTTGCCATGAGGTTCACAGGGCAGGGCTCAGGCCTGAGGAGCAAGGCTCAGGCCTGGGGTAGCTCAGGATGGCTGCAAGTTCCAGACACCTGCAGGGGAGACTCCGCAGGGTGGGCCTCGGGTCAGCCGAAGCCTAGCACCCGAAAGTGAGGATTCTGGAGCCAGGGCAGGGACACCGACATCACCCGAGGAAAGGGAATGGAGGCACTGGGGAGGGCCCTGAGGCTATGGCAGTACTGGCGGGCGCAGGTCCACCAGGAGCTTCCGCAGGCCACCTCCGCAGGGGACGAGAGCTTGGCTCAACGTCCCTTGCGTGGTTTCGGCTCATAAGCGTGCCTCGGCCGCCGTGCACAGCGAGCCCCGGCAGCCGCCTCGGGGACACATGGGGCCGTGGTCCCCGCGCTCAGCGCGAGGCCTTGAGCCAGCGCCCGGAGAGCACAGTTAGAGCTGTGGCCCCTTTAAGATGGACTAAACTCGAAATTTCCGTCACGGCTTCTCGGGGCGTGCTTACGTCACCCTTCGGGGACGCGCCTGACGTCGCGCGCCCTCAGCGAGGGGGCGGGGCCGATGACTCACGCAGCCAGGCCTTCGCCCCGCCGGGCTGGCACGTGAGCGCGCTGCTCGCCCATTCTAATTTTAGCCATGAGGTGTCAGGGTCGTGTGAGGTGAGGCGGCGGGGTCCCTGCGGGGACAGGGTCACGTGAGGTGGGGAGGAGCCCCCTCGGGGGAGGGGGGAGATGGGTCAGTGAGGTGAGGGGGGCCTGCGCGGGTGGGGGTTCCTAGGGTCGCTGTGGCCCGAGTCACGTGATGTAGGAGCCCCCGCAGGGGAGGGGGAGATGGGGTCACGTGAGATGAGGGGGGTGCCTACACAGATGTGGGGCTCCTGTGGTCTCTATGGCCTGGAGTCATGTGAGATAGGAGCCCCCTCAGGGAGGGGGGAGATGGGTCACGTGAGGTGAGGGGGCAGGCCCCAGTGTGGGTCCTCTTGGTGGTGGTGGTGGTGGGGTGTTTCCAGGGTCACATGACGTGACTCCACAGAGTCTCCCAGGTTCGTGTGAGGTGAGGCGGTGGAGTCCAGCGTCGATCCTCTGGAGGGGACTGGGTCAAGCAAGTTGAAGTGGGATCACTGTGGAATTGTGGTCACGCGAGGTGCGAGCATACACAGCCCAGAGTCAGTGCCAGTCAAGGAAAGTCAGTGGGGCCATGCTTTTCCGAGGGAAGCAAGTTCTAGAAAGTTCTCTGGTGGGTGAACCGGACCAGAGTTCGAGTATAGGTAGTGTTGGGATTGTAGTAGAAAGCCGTGAATACCTTCGTGCTCTAGAGACAATGTTGAGTTCCAGGCTGGCCCAGCTGACAGCTGAGGAGACCCGGGCCCAGCTGGGACTTACCTGAGGAAAACAGGACACACACATGCCTCCGTCATCCAGAGTGCCCAGACCAGGGATGCGTGGTTAGATTGGGAGGGAAGACATAACTGGCACACCTACTTCCTCCAACACCACTTGGAAGACAGGACATGACTGACCCCTCCCACCCACCTGGCTCACGTGGGCCTGGTGTGACCTTGGAGATTTGTTGTAGAGTGGGACCTGGACTGAGGGTACCCGAGGGACCTTCCAGGAACCAGATATGAGTTTAGTGTTGAAGAAATAAATGCCAGAAACCTTGTAAAATTGACGCTCAACCCTGCATTGAAGAGAAGGACTAGAAAACGGCCTTTTCAGCAGAAAACTGTAGTGGGAGGCTGCTTGTTGTTTCCTGGCTGGCTTAGGTCTGAAATAATCACACAGAAACTGTATTAATTAAATCACTGCTTAGCCCATTAAATCAAGCTTCTTATTGGCTAACTCTTACATATTTAACCCATTTCTATTAATCTGTGTATTGCCACATTACTGACTAAAGTTCCCAGCATCTGTCTCCAGTGGGCTACATGGTTTCTCTCTGACTCTGCCTTTCTTTCTCCCAGCATTCAGTCTAGCTTTCTCCTAGTTCTGTTCTTCCCTGCCATAGGCTCAAAGCAGTTCTTTATTCATTAACCAATAAAAGCAACACACAGACAGAAGGACCTCCCACACCAGAACATGAGCAGTTTGCTGTGTCCCAGTGAGTGCTTTCTGCTAGTGATAGATTTTAGGATTACAGCCGATGTCTCCAGAGGCTGTAAAAGGCCTTTGGCCTTTGTGTAAGGAGAAGTGTTTAGTGATAAATGGTAATACAGGAACAGTGTCTAATGGTTAGTGCTTCAGTTTTTACTTTCTAACCTCCTTCTCCGCTTTCAGAGAGAATCTGGTGAGTTTTTTCATTTGCTTTCCAAAAATAAACACAACCTCCCCCCCGTGAATGTGTACAAATGCATGTGTACAAGTATTTTAAAATTTATTCCCATAATGATCCACCTTTAACCAGCTTAAAAGTCCTGAATGTTCAAATCTAATGTTGGTATTTTTGACATACCTGTATTCATACAGCCATCTCATGACCAGTGGTTCTCAGCCTTACAAATGCTTGACCCTTTAATACAGTTCCTTATGTTGTGGTGACCAACCATAACATTATTTTTGTTGTTACTTCAGAACTGTAATTTTGCTGCTGTTATGAGTCATAATATGATATGCAGGATACCTGATATAGGGCCCCTGTGAAAGGGTCTTCAACCCTTCCCAAGGGGTCATGACCCAAAGATTGAGAACCACTGCTCTTGACTCTAGCATGAAAAAAATGTGTGTGCTGTTGACAGTTAAGCTGAGGATTTCTGTGTATTCTATAACCAAATTGTACCTTGAATTGTCTTTATTAATTTCAGTTTTGGAGATACTCTAAGTTGTACAGGTTGGCCTTGAAATTGTGATCTTCCTGGCTTCACCTTCACAAGGACTGTTTATTTCTGTGCCGCCATGCACAAGCAGGGACATCCCCTTTGAAACATTCATTGTAGAGGATACATTTGGAGGTCAGAGGCCAAATTGGTGTTAAGAGACTTTGCCTAGGGGCTGGAGAGATGACTCAGTGGTTAAGAGCAGCTTGAAACTTTCTGTAACTCCAATTCCAGGGGATCCAACACCTGCATACAGATACACATGCCAGCAAAACAGCAATGCAAATAGAATAAAGATAAATTATTAGGAAAAAAAAAAGAACCTTACCTGCCATACCATCTTGCTCTCTATCGTTATTCCTTATTTTTCTACTTCCATCTCTCTGATTTTATGCCCGACTGGTCTGCCTTTCTTGGGCCACATTTTTTATTTCCTCTATAAACTTTCTATTTTGGAAGGGTTGGGGTTTTTTTTTGTTTGTTTGTTTTCTGATAGATTTGTGAGACAGGATTTTTTTTGTTATACAACCCTGGCTGTCCTGGAACTCACTGAATAGACCAGACTGGCCTCAACTCAGACCTGATAAATTACCTGTGCCTCACAAATTCTGGGACCAAGTGTAGTGGTTCACATCTTTAATCCCAGCATGAAGGGGGCAGAGGCAGGTGGATATCTGTGAGCTCAGGACACCTCGGTCTACAGAGTGAATTCCAAGACAGCCAGATCTGAATAATTGAAAATGGCCATTAAAAAAAATGGCAAATGAACGAATGCATATCACCATAACCATCCCTACCTTGGAAGTTTTAGTTTGATAAGATATGAATGACACTGAATCATGTTCTCAGCTGAGCTGATGTGTGTGTGTGTGTGTGTGTAATTTGTAAGAACCTTAATGTGGCGTTCTCTTAAACAGGTGTTTGTTGGGGTTTTGTTTGTTTTTTTGTTTGTCCACCAAACTTCTGTATTGGACTCAGGTTACTGGAGAGAGCACAAGCTCCAGGCTTAACCTAGGTTGACTCAGGGTAGAGTGTGGTAAGAATTGCCAGCATACTCGTGCACGTTTGCTCCTTGCTGGGTCTGGTGGTGCAGGCCTACAGTCAGGTACTCAGGAGGATAGGAAGTTAAGGCCAGATTGGGCAACTTTATGAGGCCTTGTTTCAAAATAAAATTTAAAGAGGTATATATGGCTTAGTCTGTGTGAGGACCTGGATGCAAAAAAAAAAAAAAAAAAAAAAGAACCTTGTTCAGCTCTCCAGACCATAATTGTAATTTATACATAGATATTAGTAGTAGTAGTTGAGGTCTTTTCATAGAAAATTGGCCATTTGCTGTTTTTAAATTATTTGTACATGGGGATAGGATATTGATGTGGGATGTCCTTCTGTATATGTGTTGCTTTTATTAGTTAATGAATAAAGCTGCTTTGGCCTATGGCAGGGCAGAATATAGCCAGGCTAGAAGAGATAGATAGATAGAGTACATGGAGTCAGAGAGACGCCATGCAGCTGCCAAAGGAGACAGACAATGGAACCTTACCAGTAGTACACAGCCTGATGGTGATACACAGATTAATAGGAATGGGTTAAGTTGTAACAGTTAGTTAGAAGACTGAGCTGATAGGCCAAACAATGTTGTAATTAATATAGTTTCTATGTGATTATTTGGGTCTGGGTGGCCAGGAATGAAAGAGCAGTCTCTGTTTACAAGGCATGAGTACAATGGTGTTTATAAAGGACAACGTGGAGTTGGCACTAACCTTGCACCATGTGGGTTCAGGTATCTCAAGCTAAGCTTCTCAGGCTTGGCAGGTACCTGCTGGGCCATCTAGCTGGCATGTTAAACTTTTGGTCACCCTACTTCTACCAGCCACGTGCTGGGATTCCAGGCCTTTACTACTATGACCAACACCAGATTTAAGGATTTATTTATTTTTATGTATATGAGTATTTGGCCTGCATATGTGTTTGTGCACCACAAACATGCTGGTACTTGAAGAGACCAGAAGAAGGTATTAGGTACCCTAGAACTGGAGTTACAGACTTGTCATAAGGTTCCTGTGGGTGCTGGGAATCGAACCTGGGTCTCCTGGAAGAGCAGCTATTGCTTTTAACCCATGAGCCGTCTCCAACTCTTCTCTCTTCTCCTTAGTCCCTGTGTCAGCAGATGATAAGCACCATGAAGTCAGGCCCTTTGTATGGTCAGTGCATGGTACATAAGTGTTGTTGGATTAGTGGATCACTATGTATGGTGGGTTAGATAAGCTTACAATAGGATAAAAATCTGGGAAAGCCTACAGTGTTCTGCTTGGTCAAAGTCACAGGTGGTTTTTGTAATAGTAGGAGCGGCAGGGCTGCGTCCCCTGCACCCGGCCGCCCACATGGCTAGCTCTAGCTTATGCCCCAAAATAATTACACGAAAACTGTATTCTTATAATCTGTGTAGCCCATGAGCTGGCTTACCAGGAATGATCTTAACCTGCGTCTGCTTGGAGTGGGAGAATCATGGCGACTCCTGATTCAGCTTCTTTCTTCCAGCATTCTGTTCTGTTTTCTCCGCCTACCTAAGGGTTGGCCTATCAATGGGTCTAGACAGTTTCTTTATTAATAAGAAATCACTCCCACATTATTTCCCCTTTTTCTGTTTAAACAAAAAAGAAAGGCTTTAACTTTAACATAGTAAAATTACATATAGCAAAACAGTTATCAAGTAAGAATTACAGTTACAATATTTATATCTACTTTATCTTTTATCATAACAATGGAAAACTATAACTACCTATCCATTCTTCAACTCCATCAAAGACTCCAGAAGGATATAATATTACCTAAGTAAACAAGAACTAA